TGCTTTTGCTTTGACCCCTAAGGTCATGAAACCTGTGTGCAGGTGGCCAGTCCACCCGCTGGCCTCTGGCCAGTGACAGGCAGGCTTCTCTAGAAACCCCGTCAGGGCCGGGATTTAGCTCAGTGGTTCCGCTGCCTGCCTCGAAAGCAAAAGGTCCCGAGTTCGTTCCCTGGTACCAAAAAAGAAATAGAAACCCTGTCAACTCCTGTTCCCTTGTCTTGTTTTATTCTTCAAAGCACTTAGCCCTGTGTGACACTGAGTTGAATATTGTTGGCTGTCCATCTCGCTAGTTATGCTGGCTCCTCTAGAACGGAAGGAGATTCAGCCTGTGTTGGTCACTGCGTCACCACTCGGTCTCCTGACTCCTTCCATTGTATACAAGAGACGCTGTGTAAATATTGGTGTGAATGGATGAATAAATCAATCGATTGATAAATTAACTATCAGTAGTTGGCACAAGAATGCTTTTGGAGGTAGGGGAAGGGCTGTCTCTATTTCTTCTGAGCTCTAGACCAGAAATCCTTATCATCCCTGACTTCAGCGGATCCAGCTGTAATTTTTGTGCTAATTTGCATATGATAATGAGCCTTATAATATTAGCAAGAGAGCTGGAAAACAGTGGGACCCCGTGAGCACCCGACAGGGTGTGTGCATTAGTCACAGTGGCCACTGTCCTATCAGCTCGATCTTGGATCTTGGTGGCTTTTCGTGGTTGAGGTTGATTTCTTCCTCCCTCTCAGGACAATGTCCCGCCCCAGCCTGGCGGGTCTCCAGGGGCCACCCAGGGTCCTATTGCCCCATCTCTATGCTTCCTGCACCATAGGCTCCTGCTGAATTCTTTGCATTCAGAGAAAGAGAGAGAGCAGGGAAGAGTCCTCAGGAGGTCCAGGGCCAGGACTAGATGTGCCCATGTCACTTCCGCCTGCATTGCCTGGACAGGATTAGGACCAGGCCCCGCTGAGGTGGAGAGCCCGGAAACGCACTCTCCCTGGGATACGAGAGGTGGTACAGCTGCATACAGCTCCGCACGGATCCTGACAAGCATCTCAGTTAGGAAGCTGCCTCTTAGACGCTAACCAGTCATGCACAGGAAGAAGGGACACCTCTCCCAGAGTCAGGAGCCTGCTAGTCCTGCCCGGGATGCTTCTCAGGGAGGTGGCGTGCAACTGTGTGTGCTTAGGGTGAGCACGACCCTGTGTTCATCCCCAACACCGAAAAACCCCCAAATGAAAACCTCAGGAAAGCCCCCTGCGCCACTGCTGGCCCCCGGTGGGTGTGGGACGAGTCACAGAAGGCCCCTCATTTTTCGCTGCGGGTCAGCTGTCGAGACCCAAGGAGCCTGGGTGGGTGTGCACGGAAGCCCGCCCTCTGGACGTGGAGTCCCGGCTGGCTCATGGGGACTCTGAGGAGTGTCGCCAGCCTCTGCCTTCCTCCCACTCCTGCCCGGGCAGGGTTTAAGGGCTTGTTTTCCATTTTGAGCTCCCTTTCCCTCTGCTCTGGGCTCTGCAGAGCCCGGGAGGGGCAGAGCAGGAAACAAGGCTGCTGTTCAGCATCTCCCAAGCCCTGTCCCCAGGCCTCCACTTCATTACTTCCTTACGAGGACTCCCAGAATAGCAAACAGCCAGACACACCCATACTTGAACGTTAGCACCAAAGCGCATTCCGAACAAGACATGGAATTGTGTTTCTGTTTGGAAGGTTGGCACAAGCCACACTGGAGCTTTTCTCTTCATGTGGATAATGAGGGGCTGGCAGGACTGAGGCCCGGACTCCATGGCTGTGGAACTGGGATGCAGGGTCCTGTGCCTGTCCTCTCTTGTTTACTTGGAACCCTGCGTGGCTTTGCTCCTCAGCTGAAAGCCTGCACCCTCCCCCAAATGGCTCACATGGCAGAGTTGTCGCTCTTCGCTCGGGTGTGGAGTTGGCTGCTCCCAAGAGGGGCGCCTCATGGAGAAGGCTCAGGTGACTGGGATGTGTGTGAGGTGGCTTTATGTGGGGAAAGTGGAGCAGGTGCCGGGGGGAGGACGGGAGGCTGAGGGGCCGACAGAGCTTCAGGCACGCAGGGCTGGCAGGGAGGAGAGGCGAGGGGAGCAGTGGGCCCTTCAGGCTGCTGGGTGTCTCCATCAGGCGCCTCCCGGCCCATCAGTGACTGGTGCTGCTTGCTGCTTTCCTGCAAATCACATCACGCCCTGTTAAGCAGCAGGAGACATGTTAGAAACATCCACAAGAAAGAGAAAAAATAAAATGGAAAAGCGATGTAAGGTTGGTGAGACTTTCCTAGTGAACAGAGTTAGGACAGAATGAGGGTGGAGAGAGCCCAGATCTTGAGGACTCTCAAAGGTTAACATTGGGAGGTGAGGCAGGAGGATCACCACGAGTGCGAGGCCAGCCTGAACTCCACAGCAAGGCCCTGTCTCAGTCCCCCACCCCCCAAAAACCCAAAATGATTGACGCTGACAGAGGATGGACGGTCACCTCCGAGACCTTCCATCTAGCCCTCCCCAATTTATTTTAAACAAGAAAGTGAAAAACCTGTTGTGCTCCCCAAGGGTCACTGTTCTGGTCACATGACCTCTTCTGACCACCTGGGATGAAGCAGACCCTGGAATCTGTGGGGCACAGCCAGGCAGGGCGTGGCTTTCTGCCATTGTCAGGACTCTGTCCGGATGGGAAGTGCGTGAGTGTTCATCCAGATGGGTGTGTGTGGGTTCTGTTTGTGTTATGTCCATGTAAAGAAGTCACATGAGTCTTTCCAGAGACTCGGTCCTGTTCATTAACACAGCTGTCCTGGATAATTTTTAAAATACATTCTTAAAATGGCATCAAAAGTAAGCTTTAAAAAACCCACTTAAGGGCTGAGGATTTAGCTCAGTGGTTCTGTCGCCTCCCTCACAAGCACAAGGTCCTGAGTTCAATCCCTGGTACCAAAAAAACAAACAAAAAAACCCCACTTAAAAGTTAATAGTGTTATATCAAGTATACAACAGTTTTGGTTAATACGAATTGTATGCACAATACACACTCAAAAGGTAAAGCTGAGCGTCTTCAGATTGCACATGTTTTTACCGAGCTGAGATATGGCCTGTTCAGCATTTAGTTTTCTTCCTTCCTCCTCCTCCTCCTTTCCTTGTCTCTATGCTGGGTATCCAGCCCAGAGCCTTGCACAGACTAGGCAAGTGCTCTGCCACTGAGCTGCACCCCCAGGCCTGTGTCTACCTTTATTCAATAGATCCTGTATATTATGAGGGAAGGGGCCCTGAATAAGGTACTGAGCAGTGTAGATTTTAGAAGGGTACCCAGATATCCTTCTTTTAACGAGTAGTTCAGTCTTCTCCCCTTTTAAACTTTCTGCTGAAACTAATGAAAAGTAGAAGGACTCACTAATTTGGCTGTGTTTTCCTTCCACTGTCTGATGGCGATTCTATAATTAGCAATGTAATGAGAAGTGAAGGGGAAACTGGAAGAATTGTTCCCAGCACACATATCAAGCTTTGGAAGGCTGGAACAGGAAAAGCAGCCTGAGATTAACATCTTTTCTACACCTAGCCAAAGGGAGTCTGTACCTAAGCCCCATATGCAGGTGTTTCTAGGGGAAAAAGAGGGAAACTGTGCTGGTGGCCTTGCTTTTAGGGAGCTGGTTTATGCCTCAGCTCTGGGCACCTGACATTTTACATCACTGGTGTGAAAGTTTGGGTCTCTGATTATCTGAGATACAAATGAGCAGAATTCTCAAATATGGAATCTGTTCTTGTGCGTTTAATTTAAAGATAAATTATTGACAAACTGCTACCAGAAATTTTTAAAAATTTAGAATATATTTAAAGGATTTAGAGATAGAAGGCTCTTGCCATTGCTAATGCAACCCTTCTGTTTTTATTAAGGAAGAAAATGAGACAGAGGGAGATCCAATTGTTTGTTCTAAATCTAGGAGGAAAGCCAGGATTCCCAAGAGCCAGTCTAAAGATTTTCTGTGGAATTCAGTGGACAGGGGCGCTTTATTTTGCCTGTGTCTGTAAGACTGCATAAGACCTGTTTCCCATAAGGAAAATGTGGCTTTGTGATGAGAAACCCATTCAGTTCCTGAAGTATTTGTGAGTGATCTTTACTTTCCCTAGTCTGGCCTTTTAAAGACCTAGCTCCTTTTCCTACTTAACTGGAGTATTGATATCTGAAAGCCTGTTTCCCAGTTCTCCAGCCTTGGGGATGAACAGAAAGGAGGGTACCACCTACACATTCCTGTGCTCTGAACATTGACCTTGCATGTCTTAGTCAGTCTCCTCTCAAAAGAAGCCACCGTGTCCCATAAAGGCCAGCTCGGGAGCCGAACCATGTCTAAGCCCAGGCTACTATGACATACCGTGTCTCTTCCTTTGTGTGTTTCGGGTAAAGTCTCCTTCAAGTAGGATGTGTGAACTTTTACTTTCCATCCCCTTGATGATTACTTCTAGTATTTTTTTCCTGCTTGCCAGCCTTATGCTAATGGGAGAAGTAGAACTCTCAAGTGGTTGACATCTGTCAGTGATTATGTGACTTGTGTGTAGGGTAACAGCTATTTTTGTTCTTGGTGATGAAACACATATTTCAGAAACTGTCCTCAGATTTTTAAAAAAATTTAAAACCCTAATTTCTGTAGTTAAAAATACAGAAATAACTTGAATTACTGACGCTAACTGTGCTGTGGTTGCAGACGAAGGTGTGGGGTACCCCACTTTCCTGCAGAGAACTCATCAGACCAAGCGCTTTTATTTGGATTAAATGTGTGGAAGGAGAGCCAAAAGTAGCAGACTAGTATGATTTTTCAGTCTCTTTTGATTATGTATATTTTTCCCTTCTTGCTGCAAAAATAAAGTAAGAAAAAGGAAAGAAAAGAAGAAAGTGAAGAAAAAGGTTTGCTAAGTTACACTGCTATGTTAACAATGGCCACACAGCCTCCTGGTGCTCTGTAATGAGGTTTCTTGTGTGAAATCACTCATTGCGAACTGTATTTCTTCATCCTGCAGAACAAGGGAAAGGCAACCTGCATGTGACGTCCTTGGAAGATGCAGAATGCCGCAGGACCAAGGAGCGCCTTGCTAATGGGAACAGTCGAGCTCCCGTCTCAAGGGCTTCCCGAAATATCCCGAGGAGACACACGCTAGGTGGGCCCCGAAGTTCCAAAGAAATCCTGGGAATGCAGACATCTGAGATGGACCGGAAGAGAGAAGCCTTCTTGGAGCACCTGAAACAGAAATACCCGCACCACGCCACAGCGATCATGGGGCATCAGGAGAGGCTGAGAGATCAGGTACGGGGTGCCCCATTTCTCCTCATGGAGCGCATTCCTTCCCTCCTCCTCCTCTTCCTCATTTCTTTTCTTTTTCCCAGTACTGGAAATTGAACCCAGGAAGTGTTAAGCTACATCTTCAGCCCTTTCCCCCATCTTTATTTTGATACAGGGTCTCACTAAGTTGACTAGGTTGGCGCCATGCTTGATCCTCCTGCCTCAGCCTTCCTAGTAGCTGAAAATGCAGGTGTGTGCCTCTGCACCCAGCTAGGTCATTCTTAGTGTGAAGAAAAGCAGAAGAACCCTTAGTTTAGAGGGAAGAAATATAGTTTGGAGGACTATGTCTGCTGCTTAGTTGTTCCAGATCTCTTTTCCCTTTTTCTTTATGAAAGGCTTCTTCTGCATGCTCAGTCCTCTGCCAGCACAGCAGGAGAACAAGAGGCCTGGCTGGAGGGGAAGGGCCGTGAGAGTACGGGTTCCCCGGGCGCAAGTGCGTGCAGAGTGCAGGAAATCAGGGGTTATTTTACTGTGGCACCAGCTATAGTGCACCCTGTAAGCGCTCAGTAGTTAGCACAGTGAGGGAAGGAATAGATGAACACAAATCCACCAATGACATTGGTAGTGCAAGCAGAGCTTGGAGGAAGAGACTCATGATATAGCCCTTCCCTGAAGCTGACTCTAGGCTTTGTTTCTGCTTTTTCTTGCTTTCTGTGTAGTCACAGATGGTTTCCTTGCGTGCACCTCGCTTTCCGCTGTCTTCAGCTACCTGTTTTCTCTGGTTATCTTGACAGCCACACAGATACCACCCAATTGTGGCTCGGAGTGGCTTTGTTCTTGGCTGTGCGTTTTACCGTTTGGCAGACAGAGCAGGTTTGGGGTCCCAGGAGCTGTGCGCCTTTCTCTGCAGACCTCGCTGGTGTGTTAGCAGGCGGACTCCTGAGTGTGGAGCCAGTGGTCAGGGGAGCAGAGGGCACCTGCTTAACCAGTGTGTGTCTGGGTGGGAGGGAGAGCGGGCAGCCTCTGACGTCCACGCTCTCGGAGAGATAGATAAGCTTGGGGCTTTTCTCTGCCTTCTGGGAGTTAGTTGCTGAAATCCTGTCTAATTCACTCAGCTTTTGATTACCCATGGAAAACAAGATCCCTGTAGGCCTGTACAATTTCGGCCTCCCTTTCCCCCTTTAAGGAGAGAACCTTTCTCCCCCATGGAATCTTTATCGAATGCTTTCAAATGTGAACTGTGTTTTATGGACTTTATGTTTGCTTTTTGATCACACTGCCAAAAGGCAGTAGACTCAGAAAAGGAGAAAGAAACAGGAATCCTGACCTATGTGAAGATGGGCTGTGATTCATTCTTCAGTAATTAAGGAAAGAAAGGCTAGGGCCGGAGATTTAGCTCAGTGGCACCAGGCCTGCCTTGCAAGCACAAGGTCCTGAGTTCGATCCCCGCTTCTGCGAAAAAGAAAAGAAAGGCTATCGTTTCATTTTAAGTGTGTGTAGAAAATACCTCTATTTTCTGTTGATAGTAGAGTTGTTGTACATTTAAATAATGGGACCTATGCTTGTTTCCCAGTGTCGCCTTTTGGGAGATGCCGTATTTTACCCAAAGCTGTTCAGTTTGAGGAAGCACAAACTCGGAGAAATTACGGTTACACTGTTTGCTAAAGAAACTTTGGGATTTGAGTTCAGAATCCTTGCTTATTCAACTATCTCAGAAGTTTAAGGTAAAAGCTTGTAAGTTTAGTGTGGCCTGGGTAAGGAGCATGCTAGAGGATATCAGAGAAACCGTGATAAGGTGAAAAAGACTTTAAAACGTATGATGCCTGAGAAGGGAGAACATGTTTTTTTTTTCAAAGTTAAAATGTGTTAATGTTCCTGAGCAATTACCCTGTCAAAAGTGGTATCCTTTTCCTTGTCAAAAATGTTTCCGTTTTTCTTATTCGTGATGTCCTAATTATTGCCATTACCATGATGACGGTGGCTTTGGCTGAAACTGCTACCAGAGGGAGCAGCTGTGATCAGAAGGTTGCAGGAAGCGTGTGGCAGCAGATGAGAGGGAGTGACAGCACGGTGTGGTCGTGCTCTGGTCCCTCCTTGCATCTGCATCACCGTGGCTGTCCTGTAGGGTGAGGGAACCGCCCCTTCTGTCTCTCTGCCTCGGCCATCGTCCACGTGGATCCTGCCAGCGTGGGGGGGACTGCCGTACAAATCCGCATGCACGTTTTCAGTCTGTTGCTGTACTTTGGCAAGCAAGCCCCAGGCAACATTGCAAACACCAGAGGTGAGCTCAGGAAGGTCTGTGAAAAAACTCTGCGCACATTCCCTCGTCTTCTGTCTTTTTCCATTCTCTGTCTGCTACCCCACGTCCCTTTTTCTGTCCTTCCCTTTGAGACACCTGCTGTTGTCCCACGTTTCTGAGCAGGAATTATTCCTGGCCCCCTTTGCGAGAATATTGCAGGACCTCCGAGAAGGGAGTCAAATAACACAAGTTTGATGTGCCAAATACCAGATGCCCCTCTGCTGACTGTCAGTGGCTGCCTCCCGAACAGAGCTGGTGAGTGAAACGTAGGAGATGAGGCTGAAAGTGATGTATCTTACACTTTTCATGAAATGTCTTGGTAGTAGGAAATCTAGGTTCATATTCCTTGGTATTGAACATAGTGCAATCGAGTCTGCCTTATGTTCCAAACTCTGAATTCAACCATGGGAAGATTCATGGTTTAAAAGCTTACATTGGAGTTTTAAAAATATGTTGGTGAGTGTTTTCTTTAGTCTAAATTGTGGAAGAGCTGAGAGGTTACCTTATGGGTCTATAGTCTTCAAGAAATGCAGATGGTCATTCCTGCACGCAGCTGCACCAGAGTAGCTGCAGTGGTCACTGGCCCCTTCCACATTCCTCTCCTTTTAATTGTGCCGGGCAATCAAACTCCGAGGGCGTGGCTCCAGAGTGGGCTGCTGGGAATCCAGCCTTCGCCGTATGCTAATTGGGAGATTTGAAGCTAATGCCTGTCTCGCCAGGGTTCCCTCATTTGTCAAAGGACAGCAGCATCTGCATCATAAAGTGCTGAGCAGGAGGCTGCTGGAGCCTCCTACCCTTTGAAAGGTGTAGCGTCACACCTCACGCTTCTGGTTTGTGGTGTCCAGGAGAAGAAGGTCAAAGGCTCTAATGTCAAAATTAGTGTTTGAAATTGTTTTACTTTTCTAATCAGCAAGTATTTGAGCACCCAAAGTGGTTTGTTTTCCCCATTGTCAGAAAACAATTTTAGTATCTTTTATGAAATTTACGGTTTTTATTAAATGCCTCAAATTTAGATTTCATTCATTTATTATCCCATGCGTATGTATTTCACAAATACTATGGTAAAGGCTCATGAGGGTTCAAACTGTAAGGTGTGGCCCTATTTTCAAGTCAATAAAAAAAAGAGGCATTTACAAAGATGTACATTTGTGAAACAGGCATGAACAATGATTTACCCTTCACGATCTAGCCCGAACACCTTCTGAGTTGGTCAGAACACGTTGTGTACTTATATTACGACACCTCATTGTGCTACTTTGTAGCGTCATGATGTATCCTGTTTCCTTATGTTTCTTTATTCCACCTGGAATGAGCTTTTGGTGGGGAGGAACCGCGTTTTTATCACATTTGTAAACCCATATTTAGGGGATGGATTGCACAGTGTAGATGAGAAATGATCAAAATATATACAGTATTAGATGAAGGAGTGCATCAGTATTTTTAGCTTAATTAGAATGTGATAGGTAATATCAGCAAAAAGGAGGAGAGTCCCAGAAATAAATGGTGGATTGCCACTTGGGCAGTCATCTAAAAGCTGGGAAGCTAAGAATTGCGTGTCATTTCCCGGATATCGGGAAGCACACATTCGAATCAGGGTCCGAACTTCCAAGTGTGGGACCTTTCCATTTGTACTCGCCTTGGGTCTTCCTGTCCGCTCTGTTAGCAAGCTGCTAACAGAATGTGTCCGGCCCATGGGGCCAAGCAAGAGCAGTAGGCATAAACTTGACTTCCTTTGGCACCGTAATTTCTTTTAAAATGATACATTTTATTCAGTTCCAGAGCACATGAAATAACCATAAGAAGAAAATTCCTGCATAGATTTTTACGCTGGCAAAAAGTTTTTTCTTTGAAATAGCTCCGAGTTCAGAAAGGTTTGTAGTTCAATAGTCCCTCCCATCATGGTCATCCCATAACTATAAAATTGACAAATTTCTTTTACATCTTCACAAGTAAACAGATATTCAACTAGCCTCTCTCTAGCAGAGAGCAATTTCCCACTCCTGTGCTCAGAAGTCTTTCTGATACTAAGGTTTTCAATTTTTTTCTTGTCTATCCACACGGTTTCTATTTCTGGGTAGATTGTACTTGCTTTTTGACTGCAGTTAGTCTACACATAATACTCTATGGCTGGAAAAAATCGGATGGTTCTTCAGTTCAGTACCAAGAAGGGAAGAGCCAGATACCATCCTTTAACAGGAACGTTAGGGTAGGCGAACTGAGGAGATGAGAGCAGCAGCAACAGGGCTCTCTGAAATAGGGTTCATCAGGCAGAGGCCTTTGGGCTGCCCCCCGAGTCCTCCACAGCTGCTGGGTACCCCGAAGATCTCAGCACCCCTCAGACATCCAGTGTGCCCCATCTCCACCCCTGAGCATTACCCAGCCCTTTCTCTGAGCCAGCTTGGTGTCCTCTATTTGCCGTTCTCTACCACAGTCCAGTTCACCCAGTGTGGAGATGCAATTATGCTGACAACTCAGAAAAGGAAAATGGCTACCAGTCTGTTTATTCACAAACACCCTGAGCTGTGATTCATCCTCCTCCTTCAACAGCCTCTGAACAGCTTTATTCACTGTTTGAGGAACTGTCATGTGGAAATTGGAACTCGTGTCTTTGGCTCAACCTCAACTGTGTATTCCTCTGACTGACTTTTCCTTTTCAGAGATATACACTTGGCCTTATCAAGAGCCATGGAAAATTAAAAACAGAGAGCAGGAAAACTTTTAATTA